TGTTTCCTGGCTCTGCACTCTTTATGTTCTGAGCTACTCAAATCAATTGTGTAGGCAATGTAATTGCCCATTTGTTACTATGGAAAAAGAATAGCTCACATCCTTTCTGTTTGCTGTATCAAGTGTCTGAATTAGATGCTACAACTTCACTGCTTGTAGCTGAAATGAATGAGCATTTCTATATCATTTTCATAATAAGAATTTCATGTATGACCTCTTTTGTGAATTATTTTGTATGGTTGATTTTTTTGTTTCTCCCTCCCTTCTCTTCCCCCTCCTCCCCCCCTTAAAATGGAACAGTAACTTCAGAAAAAGAATATGAAGAAGAGTCATTGTGGGGCTGCACTTAACTTGAAGCTCAGGTAGGGTAGTTTGGGACAAATGAGATTGGTGCAGCTGCAGGAAGAGGAGAGCCAAAGGAGGTCTTGCTGCCCCTCTGGGATAGGAAGCTTTTAACCCTGTGCAGCAACGCAGACCTGGAAAATTACTCATTTGCAATACTGTCTCCAGACACTTTGCTTCACCTCTGCTTGAAGCAGAACTTGCTTTCTTTGCCTTCATACTTTTTCTTATTTGCGGGCCATAATGAGAAGGCTTATGTCTTTGCATTGTCAAATTGGCTAAGCAAAAATATTACTGATCTAGGACATAAAATTCAAATTTAGTGTGGTTTTTTTTCCTCATTTTGTACTTCACTGCTGCTTGTGCTTGTGTGTTATGCCCATACTGTTTTCACACACTGCTACAGCACCACTTACATAACTTTTTGGATAAAAATATAAAATTGCTTCAGGCAGAGGAGCTGCTGTGAAGAGGACTGAGCCAGAGATTAAATGGTATTGATCATAGAATCACAGAATTGTTAAGGTTGGAAGAGACCTTAAAGATCATCAGGTTCCAACCTCCCTGCTACAAGCAGGGACGCATCACACTTGACCAGGCTGTACAAAGCCTCATCCAACCTGGTCTTGACCACCTCCAGAGAAGGGGTATCCACAACCTTCCTAGGCAGCCTATTCCATCACTTTACTACCCTCATGATGAGGAATTTCTTTCTGATGTCTAATCTAAATTCCTCTTTCAGTTTAAAACCATTACCCCATGTCCTACCACTACCCTTTCTGGTGAAAAGCCCCTCCCAACTTTCCTGTAGGCCTCCTTCAGGTACTGAAAAGCCACTATAAGGTCTCCCAGGAGCCTTCTCTTCTCCAGGCTGAATAGCCCCAGCTCCCTCAGCCTGTCTTCATAGGAGAGGTTCTCCAGCCCTTTGATCATCTTTGTGGCCCTTCTCTGGACCCTTTCCAACAGGTCCATGTCTTTCCTGTCCTGAGGGCTCCAGAGCTGTATGTACTACTCCAGGTATGGCCTCATCAGAGTAGAGGGGCAGAATCACCTTCCTGGCCCTGCTGGCCACACTTGACTAGGACACAATTGGCTCTCTGGGCTCCAGCACACACTGGTGGCTCATGTTGAGCTTCTCATCTACTGCCACCCTCAAGTCCTTTTCCTCAGGACTGCTCTGTAGCCTTTCTCCCCCCAGCCTGTGTTTGTGTCTGGGGTTTCACTGACCCAGGTGCAGGACCTTGCACTTGACCTTGTTGAACTTAATGAGTTTGGCCTTGGCCCACCTCTCCAGCCTGTCAAGGACCCTCTGGATGACATCGCTTTCCTTCTAGGGTGTCAGCCACACCACACAGCTGGGTATCATCAGCAAACTTGCTGAGGATACACTCAATCCCACTGTCTGTGTCTCAAACAAAGATGTTAAACAGCACTGGTCCCAGTACTGACCCCTGAGGAACACCACTCATCACTTGCCTCTGCTTGGACTCTGAACCATTGACTACAACTCTTCTGGGTACAGGCATCAAGCCAATTACTTATCCACTGAGTGGTATCCATCTGTCAAATCCATGTCTGGTCAGTGTGGAGACCAGGATGTCATGTGGGACAGTAGATGAAGTCAGTTGTTCTTCCATTATCCACCATCTCTGTAGCCTTGCTGTAGAAGGCCCCCAAATTGGTCAAGAATGTTTTGTCCTTAGTTGAAGCTATGTTGGCTGTCACTAATCACCTCCTTATTTTCCATGCGCCTTAGCAGATTTTCCAGGAGGATCTGTTCCATGATCTTGCTGGACACAGAGGCGAGACTGGCCAGTCTGTAGTTGCGTGGATCTTCCTTTTTCCCCTTTTTAAAAATAGGGACTATGATACCTTTTTTCCAATCGGTGGGAATCTCACCAGACTGCCAATGACCTCTCAAATAGGATGGACAGAGAATTAGCTCCCAAAAGCTTTTACTGAGTAATTTTACAAAGTGACTGCTATGTATAAGTACTGTGTGCTGTTAAAAAAATCTGCTCCAAATATTTTCTTGAAACAGCAGGACCTGAGTTTAGAGAGCCTAATTGTGAACTTGAAAAGAGTTAAATTTATTTTATCTATACTTGAGGGGAATTGTTCAAAAGTTGGAGCAGGGTAAAGAGTGTCTAATTCATCCTCCTTTTTCTGTTTTCCAGTATATCAATTTCTGTGGACAAGAGGAGAGGGACTTCAGTCTTTAGGGATATGTGCTCCAAGCTGATAGGCAGTGCTCCAAGCTGATAGGCAGTGCTTACAATTGCACCACCAGAAAGCAATAAAATAAATATATAGAGCAACAGTAACAGAAAGCAGATGTCTTGCTTTTGCAATTTAAGAATTGGAGAAGGCAATAAGAAAATAATGGCAACTGACTGTGTGTTTGAGGGTGGAGGGAGCGTATATATCTTGCTTGTCAGACAAAATGGAAAATTCCATACTGGTGAAAATGAAAGATGCATTAACAACCACAGTACCTTGTTTTGAAAATTGGGCTGCACATAACATGGAAATAGATTTGACACCTTATAATCTATATTGAGTCTATATTTGACTGGTGCTGTGAACCTAAAAGGAAATTAGTCACCTATGCAGCATCTTTGTTCACCAATTGTAGTACATTGTGTTTTCCTGCTGGGAGTGTCTCAAGGCAAACAAGAAATGGGGTTTAGGAGAATGCATTCATTGTGAGCATTAGCATAAGTATGTACATGTGTATGAACACTTCGAGCAGTTTGCCTTTCTCATGGTCACCACATACATTTAGCCATGTGAAAATGAAATGGTATAACAGTTTGTGTTGAGAATGGAAAAAGTTATTGGAACTGAGGTGAATGGAAGAAGGAACAGGGCAAATTTCAGGTACCTTCCTTTTGTGTGATGCTAGTTCAGGTGAAAGCTGGAAAGTTGAGAGGATATAATATTTTTTTGATTGAAAGAATGCTAACTGACATGTTTAAAGCAGAGTAAACATCAGTGGCAGAAAGGGAAGAAGAAAAATGTATGCTATCTCACCCTCTTCCTATATGCTTCAGATGTGAAAAGATTTTCTTGTTACAAGCAAACAGAACAACTCTATTGGAGACTTCTTCAGAAGGGTGGCAAGATAAGCAGGATGTGTGTCCTGTTTTACTTCTGATTCTAACAGTAAAAACACAGAGGGATTTTTGTTAAGCACTTTAAACTTTTTTTAGGCTATGCAGGAGTTTCTTTCATAATTGTCAAGAAAATCCTAAGTTAATCCTGGTGAGAAGTGTAAATCTCATGAACACGTCTTCTGCTGGTGGAAATCACTGAGAGTGTTCTTGTGTGCTTCATCTCCATAGCAGGTTGTGTTTGTGCAAGGGTGGGCCTTTCTATGGCATGGTTGTGGGAGGTTAGGTTGGTGGTCTGCCTTTTTCAGTATTTTGTCTGAAGTAATGCAAGTAGAGTTTGTTCAAGGAAAGAGGCATTTAAGCAACAAAGCATGCATACAATGATCTTTTGCCAATTGTAATCTCCCAGTGAGCAACAATGCAAAAGCTTCCTGAGTTACACACTGTATCAAAATGACTTTTCAATAGCTGTGGATCCTCCAGTAATTTATCTGAAGGCCTTTTGATTTCCACAGCATCCTGTAATAGAGTTCATGATTCCATCCTGAAGCTTTTTCTCCTAATGTATCTTTTCCATTGTTCGTGTTTCATCAGCTGCTCAAAAGTCAACTGGACCAAAGATTTTTGTTTTGTGAGCAGCATGTAATTCTTTGATCCTCTTGAAAACTCTAGGAACTCAGTTTCCTGTTTTTTTTTGCCAGCTGGACAATCAATTTTTTAGGTGCTTCAGCTTAGTATACCCAGACAGTAAATTGAGATGGGTTTGGCCTGGCTTGAGCCCTGTACTGTAAGTCACCTTTTGCAACCCTAAGGCTCAACTTCTGGTGAAGGAGCAGGACACTTGACTGGATTAAATTTAATAAAGCTAGTGGATCTGAGCCAGACTTGCAGCTGATTTGTATGGCTGTTACGTTATTGTAGGCACTGATGAAATTCATTCTAGTTTTCCACACTTATTCTGTTCAAGACCATATCAAGTTATTAGTAAGACATATTTTGTACCTCTCTGCAAATAACAATTTGCCACTTCCAAATAAAAATACAGCTTTTTTTCTCTTACTACTCTTCCTTCAACTGTGGTGCCTTTGGCTATTTAACAAAGAAGGAAAGGAGCCTGGTACTGCAAAAAATAACTGCATTTGTCTGAAAGTGATTTGGAGACTTGTACAGCTTTATCTCAAATTTCAAATAATCACTGCAGTCGGGAGGATTACACACTCTCTTGGCAAGCTTTATAACCATAGAAAAAGAGTCTTGATACAAATAAGATGACCTTTTTTGACTCATGTGGTGTGTCACAGGAGGCTGTATTGACATTCTCAAATCCATCTCTTCTACTTTATGGACAAGTAATGCTGCTGAAATAAGACTTTCTTGACCAGCAGTTCTATTTTTCCATCTAGGAAGAATTTGCTTTTGTCTTGTATTAAAATATAACTAAGCCTGCACTATTCTTCACTTTGAAGAATAGTGGCTTATACTGTTTACATTCACAGTAGTGATTCTTCAAGTCAAAAAGGAGAATTTCATTTTCTGTTAGTATAGATGGGCTTCTGGGTGAGCTGGCTGGGTGTAGAATGGATAGTCTTTTGGTCAGATGGCAAAGCACACTTTGAGGAGAAAGAGATGCAACAGATATTGGGCAACTTGTGGGTAATGCAGTGAACATATTCCACTTGATATTGAGCTATGCCTTACAGATGTTATTGTAGTATAAAGCTATAAATGCGACTTATTTTTTGAAGTGCATGTAAGGAAGAATGAATCTTGCTTTGAAGCTGTTGAAACAACTGGGAAAGACTTGAAGTTGCTCCCACTTCTCAACAGGACTTTTGTCCTGTTTTGCTAAAGAAAGATCGTTAGGATACTTCAGTGTTTACACAAATCTCAAGAGAAAGCATATTGTGTGCCAAAATAATTCTGTACACTCTAGTGTGGAGAAGCCACAAAAAAAAGAGTTCAAGGCTTGAGCAACATTCTATTGTGTGCTCTGAAACTACAGTTGAATATAGCTTTTTTTTTTAGCATGCACTTCTGTTTTTAAAAACAAAGATGAAAGTTGGACAGATGGACATTTAGAGATGTCCTCAGACATCTACGCTGTTTTTTAAACATTCTACATGATTGGCACTGTATCATACCAAACATGCAGTTATGATGTTTGGAGACATGTTGGGAGAGTGCTTGTTCTGCTTGTTTCACTGATCCTTAGCATGGGTTTTGCATGGAAACCCTGTAATAATATTTAGAGGGAAATTATGCGCTGCGCATTATTCAGTGGAATGGAAAATACAGGGATGTAACAATCAGAGGTGCTGTTCCTTTTTGCATCATGGGACAAAAGAGACTGCCTTTGAGTTTGGTGCTTTTGAGTCTGTTGGAGGAGAGAGGACCTGTGACTTCCTTTACGAAATGCAGAAACATTCAGTATCAGGTTGTAAAGTGTTGGCTTCAGAGTTTTTAAAAAAATCTTACTCTTTTAAACCAGTATTATTTTGATTATCATCTCCCCCCCCCCCCCCCCCCCCCTCCCGCCTACACACACAATACCTCCC